AACTAGAGTCTGATTTAACACTTGATTAGATTTCACATCATTCATCCAGATCTGTGAAGTAACTAAAGGTATTAAATACATGCAGTGGAGGAAAAGTACACAGTAGCCTAAAATGGAAATACTCAAGTAAAGTACAAGTACCTCAAAAAGTACAGTACTTGAGTAAATGTACTTGGTGACTTTACTCCTCTCTCTGTGTTCAGGGTGCAGCAGCAGTTCAGAAACCTGGAGGGTGATTCGCTCCCAGCGTCCGGAGGAGACTTCCTGCAGAAAGGCTCCGATTCAAGAGGCACCCGCCGCCTCAGAGTGGTGCGACACCGCTGAGGACTGGGGGGAGGAAGAGGAGGAGGAAGAGGAAGAGGAGAGTGGAGGTGGAAGGAAAGAGAGCCAGGTGCAAGAGGAGGAAGCAGCTCATCAGGAAGAAGGTAAAGACTTAATCCCTCTACTCCAGCCCTGTTACTAAAGTGCTAATTCTCAGACCATATTACGCCCAGAACACGTCTCGTTGTTTCTGACAGCAACGTTTCTGATTGGCCCGTGGGTGTAAAGCCCGCCCACATTTTAGTAATGTTGTCATGACGCAGCGAATCTGGATCAGCTCCGTTGTTCCCCCGTTTTTAGAGATGTGGGTACTAGGGCTGTACCCGAATATCTGAATATTCGTTTGTTGGAGTACTATTCGGGTTTCAATTTCGTTATTCGGATATTCGTTTTTTTCTTTTTCGTTTTTTGTTGTTGAATTAATTGAAATCTCCAATATCAACGTAAGAGCTTGTGCCTCTTCGGGGGGTGCTAACACTTAACTATAAACGTTATCGTTTACTTTCTCCGTCTTTATATGTAGATATTACTTTTTCTCCGTTTATCTCTGTCACTTTGTTTCCATAGCAACAACAACTACCTGTCAGCAGCGCTAACTCTCCTTCAAAATAAAAGCATGTCCATACAAAATTGTAAGCCAAGCCAAATTACACTTAAGACATATACAACTGCAACGAAAGTAACAAACACAATTTCAAAGAACACAAATTGGGTTATATTAACAGATAACTATAAAACATCAATACTGTAGAATAACAAAATTAATGCCGTGAATACACCGAAATACTCGTCTCGAAGCGGTTCGCTGCCGATTACTACGGCCCCCCGGACGCGAAACGAATATTCGAGTATTCGCTGCTGATTACTACCCAATATCCGGAGCCCGAAAAATGGTATTTGGGACAGCCCTAGTGGGTACGGAGGAGAGAGAGGGTTTTGTTTCCTGACACTTGTTCATTCTCCTCCCAGCCGCCGGAGAGATGCACGTGAGCCTCGGTCTTCAGGACCTGACCCTCGGAGACCACGTTCCTGAGGACCTGACCCTCGGAGACCTCGTTCCCGAGGAGAACGTTCCCGAACTCCGCTCGTTCTTCATCAGCGTGGTGGAGGAATCTGAGCTTTTCGGGGAGGAAGACGAGCTGCATCACGCTCAGAAGCTTCTGCGGGAATACGAGAGGAGGGAGGGGGTTTCCGCGGGGGAGATGGAGGACGAAGATGGAGGCGGAGGTGAGGAGAAATACGAGAAGACGAAAGCCAGACACGGAGACGCCGTTTTCTCTCGCTTCATGAAGAAGATCTCGCTCTGTCCGCAGCAGATTCTGCGCTACAGCCGGCGAGGAACACCTCTCTTCATCTCACAGCCGCCGGAAAACATGCAGGTGCCGAGATGCGGCTCCTGCGGAGGGGAACGGACGTTTGAGATGCAGCTGATGCCCGCTCTGGTGAGTCTTCTGAGGGGGAGGAAGAGGAGGAGGGAGGAGGAAGAGGAGGAAGTGGAGGTGGAGTTTGGGACGGTGCTGGTGTTCACCTGCAACAACAGCTGCTGGACGGAGGATTCGGGATCCACTGTGGAGGAAGTCTGCTTCGTGCAGCCGGACCCCGACCAGAAGCTCTTCAAATGACGAACTTCAACATTAACCTCAAAGAAATCAGAAAGTCAGAATTCAACAGAACTATCAAATAAATCCTCCCTTAAAGGAACGAGTCTTTAAAGAGGCTCTATTATAGTATTACATGTGTTGGGTGTTCCCTCTCCTGTAGGTTTGAGTGCATGTAAATGGTCTGCAGAGGCTAACATCTCGTGTTTCTCTCCCCCCCCCTGCTTGAAACGCCTCCATTGTTTACTTCCAGTGACATCATCTCTATGTAACCCTCCTATTGGCTAACACTCCACAACACATTGACAGGCAAAGGGGGCGGGGCATCTCTCTAAGCAGGTTGACCAATCACAACAGAGCATCCATGTTTACCAATCCATATTTTATGTTTTTTTTTTTAAATCTCTTCCGCTTGTGTTCACCAGACCTTATTTCAGACTAACAACCAAAAACACATTCAGACAACCATTGACTTCCAGACCAGGGGACAGGAATGTTGACTCATTCCCAGGTTTTAGGACTCATTCCTGCACCTCTCTATAGGAACAATAATAACATTAAATCAGATTATTATTCTCTGAACTTTATCCACTCCACTGGCTCCGTCATTTATTTATATTTACCAACAATGACTTTATTTCACAAAAAATCGACATATTGTTGGAGCCATAATGCACGTGTCTTTGTTCGTATCACAGGTTTAATGAATGATGCAGTTCCAACAATGAACACAAGATGGAGTATTCACTTGTGAGTGTGTATAAATGTAATCACTGGGGCCCAGTAGTTCAACACTTTTAATCTCAATCAGATCCGATCAGATTTTGAAATCCCATTTTTTGTGATCCAGGATCAGACAACTCGGCCAGATTGTGATCCTGTATTTCAAAGCAATTCAGGATCAGAATTAGACTGTTCAAGAGGACTAGATCCTGAATATCAGTGCTTTAATCCTCCATCTAGTGGACATGAAAAAGAATACAAGGAAGACAAGAGACCACATTGCAGACACTTCTATTGTCCGCAATTACGTTTGAAAGGTGATGACAGATGATGGACTGTTTTTTTGTTGAAGATATTTTTTCTTTAATCAAAATTACATTTGTGATTGACAATCTTTGTTGTGATACTTTTATGAGCATAAACATTTATGTCAAGTCAACATGTGGTTGAAAACAAAATAGGCCACCACAAACGTGACCAAAACATGAAAAATAAAATTGATTTGCCATGAAGGCTAAACATTGTGTATTATTTCAGTTAACAAACTTTGCCATCATATTTATATTGAAACATATTTTTAAATCAATTGTACAGTTCATTTTGCTCTGGTAATCCACTGGAGATCCACCACGCTGGTGGGATCAGGATAATCCAGTTTCCTGTGTTGTCGGTTTGAACTACCCGTTTTGAAGATTTGATCCAGATTAAATCTTGGATTGGATTTCCTGATCTGATATCAAAGTGATCCTAATCCTGCTTTTTGGTTTTGAACTCCCCAAAATCCAAATCTGATTTGATCAGATAGGGATTAGAAGTGTTGAACTCCTGGGCCTGGGTGATCAGATGCAGGTGTGTGGGGCGGTAGCAAACAGTTTTTGACCGTGTCGGCAGAAGCCGTGTGGATATGAGCTGTGTGTTAAACCCGTTTGTATTCAGCGTGACTGGCGAGCATATATTGGTATCTGAATGATAACAGAAAGGAAATATGGACAGCAAAATAAATGGATCGATGGATTGAAAGATATACACTCGTATGGACATTGTTTTATCATCTGGAACACTGAATCTGAACTTAG